TAATTTTTTGTTAGCGTTCCACATTATTATTGTTAAAGTAAAATAACTCCAACTTCATTTCCCAAAATACGGTGGAAAATAGTATGAAAATTTTAACCATGTCGCATGTTTTGCTTCTCCCCTAGCCTTTTTTGTTCTTCTACCTCGCCATATGTAGTCAAAGTCGACATAAAATGGATTAATACCAAAAATAACTATATTTTCAACAAACTGAAATTTCAGATTCTTTTAGTCTACTTGAAAGTGGCTCACAAAGCTGGACGTGCAATATTTAATGATAATTAAATTTGATAATCAGGTAAAGAAGCACGGAGTCTGTTGACAAACAAGTCAACTATTTATATGTCTATAGATAATCGGATATTATGTTCTTGATCAACTCTTTCATGACATTTCAAATTATTATTATTTGTATATATTGCATGGCTTTTATTGGCTCGACGGCCTTTAGAACGTTGAAAAAATTCCACTTCTCTATCATTCATTTTCTGATTTATTTTTGGGATAATTACAAAAAATACTACTTTTGGGATGTAAATTTGTAAAAATGTTACTTAGCAGTGTCCATTTGCAAAAATGTCACTAATTATGAATTTTTAAAACCTAAATCTTAAAATTATAAACTCTAAAAAATATTTTGACCCCTAAAATCCTCAAAACTAACTCTAATACAGCATACTTAACCCAAATATAAATGATATAACGAAATTTTTTTTTAAAGTGACATTTTTGCAAAGATTTTAAAAATGTAGTATTTTTGAAAAATAACATTTGAAAAATAGCATTTTTTAAAAAATTTCTCTTTATTATTTTTCTTCTCAACTTTTGCATCATATATATATAGTGTATATACCATATTTCCATTAATTATGTGTATAATCATCCAGTCATAAAGTAGGTTAGGGCATGCGGCACTGACACATGATTAATCCATTTAAACTCTTTTCATCAATCCATATATTGTAAACTCTCTCGTTCTTTTTTTTTTTACATGAAAAGCATCAAATTCAAATCTAAAGCAAACAAAAAAAAGATGCAAGAGAAAGTTTACCTTTTTAGCCCAAAACCTCAAATATTAATGAATGACTCAATCATAGCTTAGTTTCTGTAAATGACAGTGTAAAGCTGTAAAAGTAATTAAACTCAACTCAAAAATTAATTACGTTTAATATATAGAGAAAATATTCTCATATCATAGTTCACTAATATTGGTCGGCAATTATTATAGTGGACCATAAATAAGTATTTTTGTCACAACCTTTCTTATGTGTGTGTCATAAACTAGTAATTCTGATTCATGAAGAGTAAGAAAAATAGTGAAATTTATAATTCCAAAGGAAAATAATGGACTAAAATGATTTCGAATATGTCTACTGCTTATCGAGAAACGTAGAATCAAAAAAAAAATGCGAAAACCTCTTTCTGCAAGCTTTTTACAGAGCTTGTGTGAAAGTTATATTTATCTTTTGCGA